TCTTTTAGATAGGCCCACAAAGAGGTGGAGAGACAATGTGACCCATCAAAATACCAGAACATTTTGTCACAAGAGAACCTCTAAGTGGACAAAAGCAATATATTTCCACCTGCCATCAGATAACTGGCAAGCCTTTCCCTGCAAACACCAAGACACACACAGGCAGTGTTGTCAGCTTGGTTCAGAAGCATGCTAGTATCTGAGATCTACAACGTAGCAACCCACTGACTTTTGTTAAATATTATGTCCTTAACATGGCTGCCAGGTCTGATGCCAAGTTCAGCAGAGCAGTGCTTCTGTCATTTGAAGCTGAGACTCTTCATTTCCACCATCCTGAGGCGATACTGCTTGCCACTCCACACTGATGCATACTTGAAGAAGGAAGAATGGTTTCTTACCCTGTGGTTCTTTTGAGATGTTGTAGTGCAGCATGGATCTGCCCTGCCCTCAGTCCCCACTTTTTGAAGTCCTCAGCTTTTAATTGCGAGAGAACTGAGGGAGAGTTCCAGCTGCTTCACCCTTTATGCCCTTGTATGCAAGCATTAGATGGCACAGGGTGCATCTACAGCTATGCAGAAGCTTTCAATCTCATGCACATGAGGTGCATGCACACCTTCAGTTAGGGTGACCAGATAGCAAGTGTGAAAAATTAGGACGGTTTGGGGAGTAATAGGAGCCCATATTAAAAAAAAAAAAAAAAAAGTCCCAAATATCTGGACTGTCCCTATAAAATCAGGACATCTGGTCACCCTACCTTCAGTGGATCCACACTAATTAAAACATATTGAAGAACCCCAGTTGCTGGAGAGTAGCTAACTATTCAGTGTGCATTTTATTGTTGACTTAGAGTTGTTGACGTTTTTAAAAATCAACTTTTTTTCTCTTCTCCCTCCTCCCGCAACAGAGCTGGAGGCGCATGCACAGCTGCTGCCTTCCTGAAAGAATTTGTGACTGTGGCTAACTGGGCTCATTTAGATATTGCTGGTGTGATGTCAAATAAAGATGAGGTTCCTTATCTTCGAAAAGGCATGGCAGGACGACCCACACGAACATTAGTAGAGTTTGCTACACGCTTGAGCCAAGACAAGGAAAGTGTCTAGTAAAATGTTAATTCTGTAATCTTCCGCTCTGCCTTAAATCTGTCTACTTCAATTAATCTTAAAATTTATTTTAAAACAAGTTAATGGCCTATGGCATATGTACACTCTAATAAAATGCCAAATGTGGAAGTACATCTACAATCCAGGAATACTTCCCATAATCTATAAAAAGATATGATGAAAGACAAATGCATTTTATAAACAGTTCTTACTGAGTAAGAATATCCCATAGATGAGGTTCCCTCTTCCCATTTTATGCTGTTGAAGGTGAGAAGTTCTGTTTGAACTATTTTTAGACACTTAATACTGAAAAAAATGATCATTGTAAACATCTGGACTTGTGTTCAGATGTATAAGTAGTAGTGATCTGTGTAATGGTCACAAACAATAAATCTACCTTTTTAGTTGCTTTACCAAGTTCTTTTGTCTAAACAGTATAATGTAGCCTCCACTATAAAACCATTAATCTGGAATCATGGCCCTTCTTCTGTGTTTTGGATATACCATACATGGAAGAATAACTCTTGATAGGGTTTATTGACAGAAATTTTGTCAGAACAACATAAGGGAGAAGCTAGAGGTACTGTTACCATCTGTTTAATCGGCTAATCCATGGTAGTGCTTTATTAGGTATTGGGAGACTCCATTGATAGAGGTATCTTAAACTAGACAAAGAACCTGAAAATAAGCTGTAAGGAACCTTCCTATGTTGGCAGGGAGATGGATTGTCTTGCCAATTGCTATATGAGATGCCAATTTATTGAGCATAATTAAAGGAAATTAAACAATTTCCTGCAGTTGTTTATAATTCCTCTCAAAAAGCTTGGAATAAAAATTTGTCTCCCTGGTTGTTTTGCTTTTTTCATTGTGCTTGCATTGATTTTTCTCTTGTGCTTTCAATAAAGCTGAAATTAACATGACTGTTTTTTATTTGGGTAACTTCCTTGGTTGTGTAATACCATAGTTAATGGTACTCTCAATCTCAGCACAGTTTAGGGGAGGGATTGTTAAAGAAAAACTTTTTCTTGGAGGGTATGTCAGTAAGAGGGACAGTTTTTCTAATGTGCAGTATGTCAGTGTATTTAAACAGAGGAGTTTACAGAGACTAAAACTACTCATTTTTTTTACTGATCAGTCTACACCATCACGTGACACCAGATGAAGGATTCTGTTTTAACTTCTGAAATCTGACCCCTCACCTGTAAATTTCCCAACTGCAGTTCAGTCAGGACATAGTTGTGGCTGGCTAATTGTTTAGAGCAGGCCTGCACAACTCGTAAAGCGGCGAGGGCCATATTACGCCAAAGAAAACAGCTGAGGGCCAAAACCTCCCCAAGCGCCGCCAACCCCCCCCCCCAGTGCCCCTCAGACCCCCCGAAACACAACCCCCCCCCAGCGCCGCCCGCCTGCCCCCCCCGTCACACACCCCCCCCAGCCCCCCCCCCCCCCCCCCCCCCCCCCCCAGCACCGCCCACCCGCCCCGCGGAAACAAACCGTCCTTCCCCAGCGCCGCCCCACCGAAACAGCAGTATTGAACCTCGGTAATTTGTTATAGCGGGCCCTTAAGGTAGTATAATTAAGGTAAAAGAAAAATGTCTTTTTGCTGGAAGTAGAATAAGATCTTCCCCCCACTTTGTAATCAATTGCCCTCTTGAATGAATGAGGTGTGAATCAGGAAGGTGTGGAAGGCAGGCACCTCCAAACAGCTGCAACCCTTGGAGAGGGCAGGGCCGGCTCTAGGATTTTTGCCGCCCCAAGCAAAAAAATTTTTGGCTGCCCCCCCCTTTTTTTTTGTGCCCCTCTGCCCCGCCCCCACTCCAACTCCACCCCTTCCCCAAATCCCCAGCCCTGCCTCCTCCCCCGGCGTGCTGCATTTCCCCCCCCATTGCTTCCTGAGGGCCCCCCGCGACCTCCCACCCTAGCTCACCTCTGCTGTGCCTGCTCCCCCGGGCGTGCCGCCGCTCCACTTCTCCCCCCTCCCTCTCGGGAGGGAGGGAGGGAGGGCGGAGTAGCAGAGCGTTCAGGGGAGCAGGCGGAGCAGAGGTGAGCTAGGGTGGGGGGGGGCGCAGGAACTAACGGGGGGGGTAGAGGAACCGCTCCCCACTCCAGCTCACCTCCGCTCCACCACCGAGCGCCCGCTGCTCGACTTCTCCTCCCTCCCAGCCTTGCTGCGCGAAATAGCAGTTTCACGTGTGGCAAGCCTGGGAGGGAGGGGGGAGAAGCGGAGCGGCGGCGGTGCGTTCAGGGGAGCATGTGGAGGCGGAGCAGAGGTGAGCTGGGGTGGCAAACTGGGCCGACGAGGGCACTTTTTCCCCATGCCCTGGAGTCGGCACCTATAACGGCGAGCACCAGAATGCTGCCCCTAGAAATGTGCCGCCCCAAGCACCTGCTTGTTTTGCTGGTGCCTGGAGCCGGCCCAGATCAGTAGAACAGGTCAGCCACCAATTCGCTGCTCGCCTCAGCCCCTCTCCCCCGGCTCGCCTGCTCACCCCCCCGCCACTGCCCGCATGCTCGCCTCCTCAGCCCCCCACCCCCCCCCGGCTCGCCTACTTACCCCCTGCCACTGCCTGCCCGCTCACCTACTCAGTCCCCTCCCTCACCTGCCGCTTGCCTACTCACCCCCTCGTGGGCCACACAGTGAGCCCACCTACTCAACCACCGCGGGCCGCATGTTGTGCAGGCCTGGTTTAGAGGACAGCACCTGTATTTTGCTTTCTGTAACCATGGTTGGCTACAAGAATTCACAGTAGAGGTGGCATCAGATTGCTATAGATGCACTCCTACAATTGTGCTGAGACTGTGGCAGAAAAATAAACTGTTAGCCTACATGTGAAAGGATAATCTTTCCCTCTGTCTTGCTGTTATACTTTGCACTTGTAAAGCTCCTTCTGTCTGATCATTTCAAAGCAGTGTGGTGATAATTTTACAGATTTGTCCAAGGCCATACACCTAACCAGTGGCAGAGTTGCAATTGCAACTTAATTGCTTTAACCACTAGATGATCCATATGCAGATAGCTGTCCTAAATTTAACATTTACCTGTACATAATTTTGCAAAAGCACCAGTATCTCAGCACATATTGCTAATTCCATATGCAAATTAGATGCTTAACTATTAGCACTGATTTATTTTTTAACTGCTGTAAAAAACTCACTCTCCTTAGATTTTTTTTTTTTTATGATGATGGACAGTGAAAAGGCAGCCCAGATTTTTAAAAAAATGAAGCATCTTTTACCAAATTTAAACATTTCCAACTATCTGTAGCATAAGGAGAAAAAGGCTACTATGATCACAGGTACTAAGAAAGAGCAGCGGCATTTCAGGACAGAAGCTGTAGCTTCAATCTTCGGAGAACTAACCTGCTGGGGGCTGTGTATGGGATTGCCAGGACAGAGTCCGTGAAGGAGAAGTGGGAAAACCTGTACCCCTGTTGGGTGACGATGCAATAGGGTTGCCAGCTTTGGTTGGATTAATTCCTGGCGGTTTCATGACATGACATCTTTAATTAAAGACTAATCGTTAATTCCTGGAGGATTGGCAACCCTGTGCTATAATGAAGCTCTGAGGCAGCGCCTGCATTCGCAGGCTCAGGGCTTGTTCTTCGTTCCTGGCTGGGCTGGGGCCTGAGCCAGCAGCTGCCCCCGTCCGGCCCGGGGCGAGGCGCAGTAACGTGGGGAGGGGACGTAGCTACCCCCAGGCAGTGACACCCGCCTTGTCAGGCCCTAGCCCCGCGCGCCAGGGCCAGTTCCCGGCACGCGCGAGGTCGCCGCTACCGTGCAGGCCACGCCCACCTCCGCTGAGCCCCGGGCATCGGCACCGCCTCCCCGCTGCAGCGCCCTCCCCCTCCGTCCTCTGGCGTGCTCCCCTCCCCCGCGCAGGCGCAGTGCGATTTCGGGGCGGCGTGTCATGGCGGCGGCTCTGAGCGGGATGTTTACAAACCAGCCGCCGGGACCACCTCCCCCTCCGCTCCCCCCTGGCGGCCCCGGACAGGCCGGTCTCCTCCCGGCCGCCACGGGGCCGCGCAACCCCAACAGCACGCTGGTGGACGAGCTCGAAGCTTCCTTTGAGGTTGGGGGGGAGACTCAGGGCCTGGAGGGAGGGTTGGGAGGCGCTCTGGGTTGGGGGCTGGGGGCTCAGGGTGGGAGAGGAAGGGGGAGGTTCGGGGCCTGGAAGGGCTGGGGGAGGTGATGGGGCTGGGGGAGGTTCGGGGCCTGGAAGGGGTGGGGGAGGCGATGGGGCTGGGGGAGGTTCAGGGCTTGGAAGGGGTGGGGGAGGCGATGGGGCTGGGGGAGGTTCGGGGCCTGGAAGGGGTGGGGGAGGCGATGGGGCTGGGGGAGGCATACAGGGCTGAGGAGTTTGGTGGGAATGAACCTGCATGAAGCAGTGTGCGCTGACTTTCTGCCTCCCTGGTCCACTCTTGCCATTCGCAAGGGCTGTTGAGTGGCTTCTGTCTGTCCTTTGCATGACATGTGCATAAGGTGCCCGGTTTCTCCTTTAAAACAAGTATCTCTATTTTCCCAATCATCTAGGCTTGCTTTGCTTCACTTGTGAGTCAGGATTATGTGAATGGCACAGATCAGGAAGAAATTAGAACTGGTAAGAGCCTGCCAGTATTTTGATCTGGCTGTAACAGGGTTGACATATTGGGTTTGTTAAAAAGATACTGTTATCTGTACTAATTTTTAAAGTACAAACCTTTTAATTTACTACACATAATCTCAGGAACCTGTGCATTTATAGGGCCTACCTACACTAGGGAATCTATAAAAAATTTTTTTGCTGCTGTTAATATCTTTTGAGCTTCACTGATCTATGCTAATTTGGAAGCAGTAGTGGAGAGAGCCCAATGTCTGCCACCACTGTTCTAAATACTATGCCATCTAACCCTATTAAGATTGGTCTTTTTAAAGGTATTTAGGCACTCATGTGCCCAGTAGGATTTTCAAAAACACGTAACTCTCAGAATGAGGCACCTAGGCACTTCTGAAAATCTGCCCAAGGTGCTTAACATGGTATCAGCAACCGAAGTGGTGTCTATAGGAGAGATCCAAATGTGGCTAACCCCAATGGAGCTGAACCAGTGTTAACAATTATAAGAATTTTTGAAAAATGTCCCTAATATAACCACGGCCTTGTGGAATTTTTAACGAGTATTATAGGTAGCTGGCAATGGGAGAGAGAATCCCACTGAAGCATTTGGTTTGTAAAACGGAAAAGCAGCATGAATTACAGTGACTGAGCAAAAAGATAAAGGAGGAAAGGAGAACTTGGGTTCTGCCTACCTTGACAGTATCTCTTTAAAAAAAACCAAAACTTTCTTTTGCTCTCAAAGGTATGTGACTGGGAGAAATATAATGGATTGCTGTTCTGCTCGTGCAATGGCAGCATTAGCAGCCAACATCTAATTCTGGAATCCCTGTTGTTTATAGTAGCTTATGAAGTAGAAAAAGGCCTGGGTCAAATTTTCAGAAGTCTTACTGAAAGTCAAAGGGGTTTAAGAATTGAAGTCCTATTTTTGAAAGTGACTTACGAGCTTTTGAAAACTCTAGCTCCTTGTTCTCTTTTCAGATATTGGGTTATACTTATGGACGAAGTTCTCTCTAAGCTGCGCGGCTGCACAGCAGCCTATTAAGTGCCGTGTAGGTGCTCAGGGCTGCGGCAGGGAGTGATGCCTCCTCCAGCTCTGGACCTGCCACGGGGGAGAGGCACCTTCCCCAGCCCCGCCCCGGACCTGCTGCGGCTGGGGAAGAGGCACCTATCCCGCGGCCCCAGAGCTGCCGCGGCAGGGAGAGATGCTCTCCCCCCCCCCCCCCCCAGCCCAGGTGCTGCTGCGGGGAGAGAGAGCTGGGGGGAAGTCCTCTCTCCCCGCTGTAGCCCTGGGGCAGTCTGCACCCCAAAACCCATATCCCCGGCCCCACCCCAGAGCCCTCACCCCTAGTTGGAGCCCTCACCCCCCCCCCCAACCCTCTGCCCTGGCACCACCCCAGAGCCCGCACCCCCAGCCAGAGCCCTCTACCCCCTGCACACTCTGAACCCCTTGACCCCACCCTGCCACATGAATTTTGTTATGTGCACCAATATGGAGGTGATGTGTCACATCTGTGCAACATGACACCTCCATATTGGTGCACATAACAAAATTCATTACGCCTGTGAGTGGGAAAAATTAGAGGGAATGCTGCTTTTGGACTATGCTGGAATGAAGAAACTCTTGCACAGGATAACTAAATTAATTTTATCAGAGTCATTAATAAATATGCACAGGAATACACTGAAATGTTACTTAATGTATTTGCATTCAAGACTCACAGAAGTGACTTTGTGTTTATTTGTATACTTGGTTTTTGAAGCCCTTTGTCATTAGAGAAATGTTAATTAACCTTTTGCGGTGAAACTGGAAGTGACCATATTCTTTTCCACATCTTACAGAATCTTGATTTTTAACATGGTTACTACTCTAAAAGAGGCATGCCATTTAGAACTTGCAGAAGTAAAGGTCTGTGGGGGGATAGTCTATAGATATGTTTAGTCAATTTACTTTCCATTATTTAGGGACTTCAGATTTTATAAATACAGGCCACTAAAAATACAGACGTTTACAATCAAGTTTTTGGATTTACTTTCTCAAATGTCTTTGGAAAAAGCTGTAGATTAGTTTTTAAATATTGAACACCCGGCTACGTAGACTAAGAGACTAATGTACATTAACTGATTTCCTTCTATGGATGTTGTTAAACTAATCTGGTCTTTGATTTCTTTATCTTTCAAATCTTGTTATATTTCTGTATTTTAGGTGTTGATCAATGTATCCAGAAATTTCTGGATGTTGCGAGACAAACTGAATGTTTTTTCCTACAAAAAAGATTACATCTGTCTGTCCAGAAGCCAGAGCTAGTTATTAAAGAGGTAGGAGATTATCATTTTTTTATCTACTTACTTTACCTGTGACAACTTTAATTTGTTTGTTTCTTTTAAGACTAAGGATGTATTTCTTTTGTTCCATGATAGTACAGAGAATCTGAAACAAGTAGCATATTTGATCAAGAAATGTAGTTTTTGTTCAGTGGAACATTTCTCTTCTTTCTCCATCTGCAAGCACAGTGGATTTTTAAAATTATTCCCATTTATGCTAGTTTTCCTAACTATCCTACCATTATTATTTATATAACTACATAAATGTGTGTAGCGCTTTACTACAAGTGTGAGGCGCAAACAAGCGGGTCTCTTTCCTGAAGATCCTAGAATCTAAAGGTACAAATAGGTGCAATGCAGTATAGAACAAACAATGGTTGAGTTTAATTAGCTTATTGCCCTGTCACTATAGGTTTGTAGAGCTCACCTGGATCACTCTCAGTAGCTCTTTACAGTACATAAGAAAATCTGGATATAGATAGGCCCCTTTGAGGAAACAGACCAGTTAGTCAAAGTTGGATGTGCAGAGGGCAAACTTCTTTCTGAATTACATGAGGGGTATTGAAACAGAGACCTGGTACACTCAACTAGAATGTATATCATAGAAGGGAGTAGCCAAATTATTCTATTTCCAGTTCAGCCACTTCTCATAGTAAGATGTTTTCACTCTGAGAATTGTCCATTGTTTCATAGGAACTGTAATAGTTAAAATTAGTTTACAATGTAGTCTTTTTACAGTGAAAATAAGTCATTTACTAATTCAAGATGTCTATCAACTGCAGGATGTTTCAGAATTGAAAAATGAATTGCAGAGGAAAGAAGCACTAATTCAGAAGCATTTGGGTAAACTGCGTCACTGGCAGCAGGTTCTAGAAGATATGAATGTACAACACAAAAAACCTGCAGAAATGCCTCAAGGACCATTAGCTTATCTAGAACAGGCTTCTGCAAATATTCCTGCACCCATGAAGCAAACATGATTAAGAAAGATGTTTGAATTTAGATCTTTGAGTAGTATTTTAACTTAAAGTGAAATGTAATATTGATCTTTCTACCTTGTATAATATGTGATGTAATTTGTAATATAAAAATAGTGTTTTATACTACGACAGTGGGACACAACTAAGCATAAAATAAATGGGGAAGAATCTGTAGTTTTTTAACTTTTATCAAAGTATGGATTGTTTTTACATTCAAACTGAACAAATGCTCATGTATGTCTTGTATTGTAGTCAGAATACACTTGCATAGAATATTCTAAAAACCCCTCCTATTACTTGGGAAACTGACAGAGCAGTCCTAATGTAGCTAAAGTCCAGTTAAGGCACTATTGATACTTGCAGAGTTTATTTGTTCATCTCAAGTGAAGCCTTATATACTGTTTTCATTGTGAGTGTTTCCTATGATTCTGGAGAAATAGTGCAGACTTCTTATTGCTGAGACTGATTGGTCAAATAAATCAAAGCAAGCATTTTCTGTTGAGCACTACTGCTATCTATGGCATAGGCACTTGCCTTCGCTTGGGAGGGGAATGTATTTTAAATGTGTTTAAAAAAAATACATCTCTTTTCCTAGTGTAGACATGGCCAGAAGGCGCTGATGGGATGTTGGTGCTAATGGGAAAATGCTCTGGCATCTGATGCTTTTAAAAACTTGTAGAAGAGCTTCCTGTTGGAAAGGGATGGAGATGTGGTTAATATTTCCCAGTCATCCTCCATCTAAGCATAATGCCTGGCATTTTCTACCCTTCCCATGGCCTGTTTCTACAAATGTATGGTGCCTTCTTTTCCTCCTGAAACTATACCCACTCAGTTTAAAGGTTTGGCACCTTAGGAGAATGTTGTTGGCTTTCCTCATCAAAGCAGATTTAGCTGAAGTAGCTAGAAATTGAGTGTTCTCAGTTTCAGGCTGCTGCAGCTGACATGAAATCCAGTGGAGAAGTACTGCCTGATTGTATACTATTGGTTAATTAGCTGAGACATGGTAAGTGAGGGAACCAGACAGCTTGTCTGCTCTGTGCTTGCCATTATGCTCTCAGAGCATTGTTGCAGGAAAGAATGTATACTCAAACTTCCTTTAGAGAGTAGGTTTAAATTAACTTCACTCTGCCATAAGTGGGGAGAAGCTGCAACGCAGGAGAAACAACTCCAACTTCTGGAGCTAAATGTTCTCTCAAAGCCTCTCTTCGAACCACTGACTTAAGGAAGCCATCAGCTTTACTTGGACAGTACTTGAAGTTTCCCATTTTGCTGTAGGGACTGTTACCTATTTTCACACAAGGAATGGGCAGGCTGCCATAAAGTAAGTCAGTAACAAACTCCCATTGATTGCTGCAAGTACAGGACTGAGTTACAGGATGGTTGCTTTTTAAATTAACTCAATCTAGTCTGTCTAGGCATGTACATCACACTTAACTACTGTGTCCATTTTTGTCTGTCCCTGTGAAATGAGAGGGGGAACTCCCTGAGTGGAAACAGGCTTTCATCTACCTGAAAATGACTGAATGATAAGAATCTAAGTAAATAATGTCTGTCCTTTGTGGGATGTTTGAGTGGTTTTACTGCTATTTGTCACAAGGCTTCGAGTTGTTCATTGGACTCAGATTTTGAAAATATTTTTTTCACCTTAAAAAGCTCATTTTGCTCTTACATCTCTCACTACATGCACTACTGCTCCAATTTATTAACTAGTAACTCTTTCATTGCTGATCATTTTAGCAGAATCATCCTAAAATATTGATTCTTCAGTCCCAAACTCTCCCCCCAGTTCCCACCTACTCAACTACCAGATATGTTGCTCTACTCATAATACTAGTAGCTGTATTGTAAGTACAAAAAATAGTTGGCTTATTAAAACCCAAAAAAAGAC